AATTTTATATTTTCTCTCCTCCAATTTTCTCAACTACTTTTGTTTTTTACAATATTTAATTCTTCTACATATCTTACTTCCTCCCTATTTTATCACTTTCTCCAATTTTCTCCTAAATTCCGTGCATCAAAGGAAGCAAGTATTCAAAATCGGTAGAGTAATTAAAAACGGGATTTGTTAAACATCGCCCGCGTTTTTCTACATAAAGCCCACATTTTTTAAAAATGTTGACATTATTGCCCTTGTTTTAATTTTTACCGAAAATAAAATTTTTCACTCATAAAAAATGTGGAGCAGGACTGGATCGCCGAGTGAAACCGAAGAGCCCTCAACGTCGGGTAGATGCACCGGAGAGACGCCGTTGACGCCGGAAAAGGAGGTACGAAGCCATCTAAAACCACGAATTGGCGGCTGGCGTCCTGCCGGGACGCCGTGACCGTAGTGGTGGCGCCTAGCCAGGACGCCGCCACCGTGGCTCTGGCGCCTGGCCAGGACGCCGCCACCGTGGCCGTGGCGTTTGGCCAAGACGCCGCCGCCACGGTGGCGGCGTCCTGGCCAGGCGCCACCGCCACGGTGGCGGCGTCCTGGCTAGACGCCACCGCCACGGTGGCGGCGTCCTGGCTAGGCGCCACCACTATTTTTTTTTTTTAATTTAATTTAAAATTTGTTTATTTTTTTTTTTTGTGTTACAATTTTTTTCTTTTTTTTTTGGTTTTTTTTGTTTTTTTTTAATTGTTTTAATTTGTTTTTGTTTTTAATTTATTTATTTTTTATTATTTTTTTTACAATTTTTTTCGTTTTATGTTTTTTTTTGTTTTTATTTTTTTGGTTTATTTTTATTTATTTAATCTAAAGTTTTGTTTATGTTTTTTATTTTTGTGTTTTGTTTTTTTTTTTTTTTGAATACTTTTTGTTTATTTCTTTGTTTGTTGTTTATAATTTATTATTGTTTTTGCTTTTGTGCTAATGTTGTGTCAAATGTATTAATTTAATCTACTCTTATGTGATTATATTTATATGTTATTGTTGCAGGATTATGGTGGAGACGGAAATGATTATAGTGGGATTTTTGTACACGATGGTCTGTTCGAAGATGCTCAACAAGCGGTTGATTGGGCGAAACAGGTTGCAATTAGATCAGGTTTTTGTTTAGTAGTAGCAACTCATAAATCTCAACGGGATGGTAGAATGGATCGCATTTTGAGATGCGACCGTTATCGCAAAAGGGAGGAACGAGATTTCAGTCAAGCGATTCGGTTTGATACAAAGCGGAAAGGTTGTGGGTGTCAGTTCAGAGTAAAGGTTCGACAACAGCAAAGGGGTGACGGTTGGGAAGTGAAGAGTTACGGTAAATGGGGGTATCACAACCATGAGATGATCGCATATGAAGTGGGTCATCGACAGTTAAGTGGCCTAAGTCCTGCTGCGAAACTAATTGTAAAAGAAATGAGTGATGCTCAAGTGAAGCCTGCTAAAATATTAGCATCTGTGTTGGAGAAATTTCCTGAAGACCAGCCAAACCGAAGACACATCTACAACGTTAGACATAAATTGAGGTTTGAACGGTCAGAGGGAAGGAACCCTATACAGCAGCTTCTACACCAGGCACAAGCACGTGGTTACCTGTACTGGTTTGAATCTGATGAAGACACATCGGAGGTGACTCATTTGTTCCTTGTGCATCCTGATTGTGCTGATATGATTTCGTCTTGGCCATCTGTGATTCTGATCGATTCAACGTACAAGACAAACAAGTATAAGTTTCCACTGGTTGAGATGGTTGGGATGACTCCAACGAACCAGAACTTTTTGATTGGTTATGCAGTTATGAAGGATGAGACGGTTGCGAGTTACCGTTGGGTGTTGGAGAAGTTGAGAAATTACATCGGCCCAAGTGTTCAGCCATCGGCCATCGTCAGCGATTGTGAGGGAGGTCTCTTTGCCCCTATAGCGGAGCTGTTTCCGGAGTCGAGCCATTTACTGTGCACATGGCACATCAACAAATGCGTGAAAGTCAAAGCCTACAACCTTTTCAACAAGAACTTAGATTCAGCAGAGAGATTGGTAAATGGTAAGTGGCGGAAGATCCTGCAAGCTACCACGGAGGCAGAGTACGACCGAGCCTTGGATAACTTCAAGGATGCATACCAATGGTGCCCGGCAATCGTAGACTATGTGATGCAGCAGTGGGTGCCTCAGAGGGAAAAGTTTGTCAAATATTGGACAAACCAAGTTATACAGACATTTCATCCGACTGGACCTGTCACCAGACCGGTAAGAGAGGTTGCTATTGGATTTCTGGGGCCGTCATACAGACATTTCATCCGACTGGACCTGTCACCCGATTTTCCGGTCCCACCGATTATACCAACGTGGTACACCATTCGTACAGCAAGCGTAGAGGGCTGGGATGCGTTATATCATGACAGCGCTGCGGCATGTACGCCTCTACGATCTCACGATACTGAATCAGTCCCGTGTAGAGGGTCCTGGGTACCCTATTACTAGGGTTCTGGCCGAAAGGCATCCAGTTCACCTGCACATTTTTTAAAATTAGTAAGATTCATACAATAAACACATCAAACTATAAAAGTAGAAATAATTTAAACACTTTACCTCTAATGGGGACATCCTGTCAAGCAATAACCGTATCGATCGCAGGCGGTCAATGGACTTCTTCTCGACACGCGGACTCCACGCACAGGCACGTGGCTGGCCATCCCCAATAGGAACCGGGTCGCGGTGTGGTCGAAACGCCGGGAAATACTCGTATATCCACGTCTGTAACAACGTCATACATCCAGTGATACCTGCCGCATCAGCCCGGCTCGAGAATCCTAACTGGCGATACATGTACGCTAATGTAGCCGACCCCCAAGAAAACTGGCCTACTCTGTCGGGCTCACACGCGTCAACTATGTCGCGTGGCCTGAGCTTGTTTCCGCTCTTATCCGGAAACAAGGTACACCCGAGAAGAAGAAAAACATATGCAGCCAGCTGTGTGTCCTGCGTCCTACGTGAAGTGGGGTGCAAACATCGCTGCAAAACTGCTGCGATCTTAACACCGTCGTGATCCCACACACCAAGTGCCGCTGTGTACAGCGCAGCCCTATCCACCGCCAACAGCTCCGCCAATAAATCTGCCTGATCCGCATCTGTGACAACAGATGCTCGGTTTCCCTCTACGGGAATCCCAAGGATGGCCTCGACGTCATGCAACATGATCGTCATCTCACCGAACGGAAGGTGGAAAGAGTTCGTGTCCGGCTGCCATCGCTCAACGAAAGCCGTGATCAGCGTCGAGTCAATCCTCTCATGCATGGTGGCAGGAAGGTGGCTCACTCTAGTGGCCCTCAATCGGCCGACCATCTCGCTCTCCTCCGGCCAAGCCTCAGCCCAACTACACAAGAAGTTACAAGTCCTCTCCCGGGTTTGGCATTTCAAAATGCCGCTATCCAAAGCCCGCTCTTGGTCCTCCCAAATACGGGTAGCGATGTGTCCTAGAAAGCTAGGAATCACACTCCCGTCTATAGGTCCCCCAGCCACCTCGCCCCTCACCACCCAAGAATCATTAACGGCCCTCGACCGTTTTCTGCTAACCGCAGACACAGTGGACGCAGATGATGTGCCAGATCTACTAACAAATCTACCATCTCTACCCTTACGCACGTCTACCCTACGCGTCTCATACACATCATCAAGCCTCTGACTGAATGGACCGTAATCATCATATGGTCCACTCTGATCGTCCACATCCTCATCTGCATCCTCCTCCTCCTCCTCCTCATCACCATCATCATCTTCATCATCCTCAGAATAGTGCACCCGTTCTCTACGAGCCGAGGCCGAAATACCACGGGATCTAACGTGTCTGGGCCCCGAGCTCTCCATTGAGTTCATCGTACTTCTCATAATGTCCATACTCTTCCCAGCCCCAGAACGAAAATACGATGCCTAACACAAAATAACAAAACATGTAATATGCAATATAAACATGTAATATAAACATAAAAAAAGTAATTAAAATAAATAAATAAAACAATATACATATGATGGAAAATAAATTAAAAACATTACAAAATATTAACAACCTAAAAATAAAAAAATTAATAACCTAATAAATAAATAAATAAAAAATTGGAAAAAAACAAAGCAAAAAAAAAAATTACCCAAAAAAAACAAATTGGAAAAAACAAAGTGAAAAATATAAAATTATAAAAACTTAAAAAAAGAAGAACATCAAAATTTTAAAAAAAATTTATAACAAAAAAAAGGGAACATAAAATTTTTTTTAAGTAAAAAAACTAATTCAAAAAAAAAAAAAACAAGAACAATAAACAAGAACATAAAATTAAAAATTAAAAAAAAAAAAAAGAGGAACATAAAATTTTTTTAAAAAAAACCAACAAAATTTAAAACAAAATAAAAAAAAAATCAGAAACATAAAATTTAAAATTAAAAAAAAGAAAAACAAATTTAAAAAAAAATCAAAAAAAAAAATAATTATTTTCGAAAATTAAATTTCAAATTTAAAACCAAAAAAAAATTAAAAAAAAAAATAAAAAGGCGGCGGCGCCTAGGCCAGACGCCGGTGCCGTGGTTCTGGCGCCTGGGCCAGACGCCACCGCCACCGTCACGGCGTCTGGCCTAGGCGCCGCCGCCGTGGTAGTGGCGTCTGGGCTAGACGCCGCCGCCGTGGTGGTGGCGTCTGGCCTAGGCGCCGCCACCGCCTCCGACCTTTTTTTTTTAATTTTTAAACACAAAATTAATAAAAAATACCTTCTCGCCGGAAAACCGCTGTCCACCCGCCGCCTGTGCCGCCACTTCCTTGCCGGGCCGCCTCGACATCGCTCGGAAAGTTTTTTAGAGAGAGAAAGTGGAAGTAGAGAATTGAGAGAAGAAATTGTGTTTTTTACTTTGAGGGCAAAAGTGACAATTCACTCTAATTTTGTGGGCTTTATGTGGAGATTCGCGGGCGATGTTTAGCAATTCAGTTAAAAACAAGGCCGTATAAGTTTTCCTAACAAAAGGAAAACGAAAAACCGCTTCAGCATCATCGAGCTTCTTGCAGAAGAAGAAAGGAACTACTGAAGCATAAGAGACTCAACTTCGAAGCTCCAAACCCTAATATTTTCCCCCAATTTCAACAGATTCAGGTACAAATTCATCAACTTCATTCCAATTTCCTTCATTCAATAACATTTCGCATTAATTTTCTGCAATTTCATCCTTCGCAACAGTTAAAATCGGCGATAAAATGACTCAAGATGTGGAGATGAAGGATACTCAACCCCACTCAAATTCTCTCTCCTCAGTCGATCCACCTACTTTGAAGCGTATTTCCCAAATCCATCACTTCGATTTTGATTTTTGTTTCGTTGAATTTTGCCCGATTTTTAGGGTTTTGAACTTGATTTGTTGCAGATTTGAAGGAGATTGCGTCGCTATTGGAAACGGGTTCTTATACTAAAGAGGCTCGTCGGATTTCTCGTGGAATCCGCCTTACCTTTGCTGTTCGTCATAAGCTCACGGCCCGTGTGCTGCATTTCTTCCTTGATTACGCTCTTTCTCCCGGTTCCGAGGCCCATGGAAAGATCTCCGCATTTCTTCCTAAGGTAACGTTTGTTTGATTATAATGCAGAATTGAAACAAGGAAGACATAGATTTCCTGTTATATGAATGAGGTTATCTGGGAAGTAATCATTTAGTGTAATTTTTTTTTGTTTTTGATTGGAATTTAGTGTGAGGTTAATTGGGAAGTAATCATTTAGAGTAAAACTAACAAATGAATAGATAGAAGAGTAAAAAGAAATTGGTAAATTATGGTTTGGACCTAAAATCTCACTTATGTGCGTCTGCACAAAAGGCAGCTCCGGTGCGTACCTTAGCTAGCATTTTGTAATGCTCATGCCCTTTACTAGTTCGATGCTATTTTCTGTGAATCGATTCACCAACTGCCTAGGCGTGCCTAGGTGTGCCCAAGCCGTGATTTTTAAAAACAAGTATAAGATCGGGTTAGTGCTGTTGGGTGTGAGATCTTCCTTGTTAAAATCAATAGTATCGCGGCAATGTAATTAGCAATCTTCCTTATAGAGCATGAAAAGCAGCTAGTCATGAAATATTACTCTAGGAACATGGAAGATTAAGGAAGAATTATTTAGAACTCGTAAAATTCTTTATGATGGTGAGTAGTAGTGTGAATCTGTGATGGAAGCACTGAGGTAGCCTATTCCTTCATGATGTCAAATTTGGCCTAGAACTGAAAAAATAAAAATCTTTGTAGTTGCAAGATCAGTTCATCCTTTGCTATGGACCTGCAAATTAGATTTTTGTTGCTTTAGAATAAGTAACCATTGTGTTCGAATGAGATATGTGGTAATCATGTGCAAGCTCTTAGTTGCCTTTTGATCCAAACTACATGTTATATGAGAGTTATATAATCATTTAAGTCGCATATATCTATAGACAGCTGATGCGGCCTTTTATAGCATCAAGAATAATGACATAATCTTCAACTAAAATAACTGTTATGAAAACTTGTTAAGAGGGTGTAATCTTGCTGATAGGGTGAATAAATCATAGGCAATAAGAAAAATCATTAACTCAAGAGAAAATTTATTGTAGTACATGACAGGAATATGCCTTCCATGCAAAAAACCTCTTGCCTGTCAAATTCTCCTCTCTCTGAGTTGTTGTCCCCGAAATCTGCGTATAGTCTTTGTATTTCTAGGTTATGGTCTTTGAATGATGTAACTCACCCTTTGTTCAGTGATGGAATTAAGGAATTGGGGTGGTGGGAATCTAATATATATTATTTATTTTTATAAAGCAATCTTCTCTTCCTCTTGATAGTGCCTTCCTGCCAAGTACATGTATACCTGCAAGGTTGGCTAATACTTGGGTGCTGACAAAGCCTCTCTCCATATTGTTCCTTGCTGAAAATTTAAGCCTGTAATCAGTGGCGGATCCAGGATTTCCGAGATAGTGTGTCACCATCAATTATTGATCATTTGTGAAAGTACAATTTTTTTTTTTCCATGTCTTGTTCATAATTAATTTCAATCCAAAAATTATATATATATATATATATATATATATATATATATATATATATATATATATTTCACCAAATTGATTTCAATCCAAAAATAGGACACAAAAATACATACCACAACCAAATACAGTACTTAAGAATTCAATTTTACAAATCGAAAATACTACAAATAACATGTTATAAACAAATGGTACAATAAAATTATTATATTGAATTAACTTTATGATTTTTTAGTTAATTGATAAGCTTTATGGGGAAATATTAAAATCGGTTGTACAAATATAAGATATAAAAAGGGAAAAAAATTATTAAAAAATTATACAAAAAAAAGTGAGATAACTTAAGAGACCAGTTATTAAATATAACTGGTCTCTTTAATGAAAAAAGAAAGTAGCGCAAAAAAATTGCGAAATGCAATAGCAGCATCAAAGAGACCTCTTATATAAATAACAGGTCTCTTTAATATTTAAGTAGCAATAGCAGCATTAAAGAGATCTCCTACCTTAATAAGAGGTCTCTTTGATGTTGTTTGTTGTTACCAATAGCAGCATCAAAGAGACCGCCTATCTATAATAAGGGGTCTCTTTGATATTTTATTTTTAAAAAAAAATACTGTCACCGGACCCACTATGACTAAAGGTGGGTCCGCCCCTGCCTGTAATCTCTCTTCTTCCTCTTTATTAATTGAAGTTCTGTTGTATGAATTTAGGCTGTCTATCCAACTTGTATGAGTGGCTGGTTTGAAAATCATAGAAGTGAATTGGAAGGCTGTTCATAGATAAGAGAGGTATCCCATGTCTGAGAGCTGAGGTTCAGAGTGGTCCAGTATCCTAAGTCGTATCTCGAGTCTCTTTTGGTCTGCATGATTATGGCTTAAATTGCTGCAGTGGAGTTAGCAGAGTCTTGTTTGATAGGGTGTAATTATCCCACTCCTTTGTCACTTAGAGAGATGGCGGGGGGTAGTAAGCCTTTTAAAGGAGAAGTCTTATCCTGCTGTGTTGAAAGCTACAGAAGTACGTGTAATCCGACTTTCTTCATTGAGTACTCTCTTTCAAAGCTCATTTATTGTGAGGGATCGGATACTAAAGGTAGTAGTAGACTTATATGATGCATTGCATCTTATTTACACTACCTCTACATTTGTTTTCATATTGGACTTGGGTGTGGAGTTTATGATATGGATGTGTAAAAAACTTATTTGGAACAACCATACTAGTTACTAGGAAAGTGTTGCTTCAGGTTCTCTTATAACTTGCATGCAAATTTAGTTCTGATGCTGCTTACAGCTATGGTTTTCCAACACGGAAATCCTAACTTATTATCATAACATTGGTTTTAGGGAGGTGAACAGGAGATGGAAGTTGATACTGCAACATCTGCTGTGCAACCTTCAGGGAAAAGCACTTTACCGGAGCTGGAAATCTTCTGTTACTTGATTGTCTTGTTGTTTCTAATTGATCAGAAAATGCACAATGAGGTGTGCTCTGTTCCAAAAACTATTTTTGTACTCTTCATTGTCATATGTGTTTCAAGCTAACTCTGAAAATGTTCAGGCTAAATCTTGTGCTTCTGCAAGCATTGCTCGTTTGAAATCATTGAAAAGAAGGGTTGCTGATGTGCTAGCATCCAAATTGTATTCTTTCTATTCATTGAGCTATGAGCTCACTGGTGATCTTGCTGAAATCCGTGGGTAGGCTCAGAATTGCTATTTGCCTTAATTTCTTGTATTGATATAAGATTAACCCTAATGTACATAGGCAATCATTAAAAATGTTTCATAAAGTTACTGATTTTGTTGTGCTTCTGCTTTAGTGCTTTAATCTAATTCTTTTCTGTTCCAGTGAACTCCTCACCTTGCATCGGCTGGCTACATTGCACCATGATGAGCTTGGTCAGGTTTGTATGGGGTCAATGAGAAGCATATATATACATAATATGAGTTATGTGCTGAGAGTTTGAATTACATGTGATTTATCTATGCTGCAGGAAACACTTCTGAACCTTCTGCTTCGCAATTACCTCCATTACAATTTGTATGATCAGGCTGAAAAGCTGAGGTCCAAGGCACCTAGTTTTGGGGCTCATTCCAATCAGCAGGTATTCTCTATTACCTGTAACGCTAGTAATGTCTTTCTATGATTTATTATGCACTAGTGTAGTAAAGCAGTATTTACACTAAGAAATCCGTGATCCTTTGTTGTTTCACATTTTGTACCTGCTCTTCTAATAAGATGAGAATCAAATCGGTAAAAGTGATGTTGGCTGTTGCAAAATTTAAAAAATTTAATCCTATATTAACATTGTCATTTTCTATCTAATAACTCCAAATGAACCTTTATTTCTGTTTCAGACTTCCGGAAATTGAAGGCAAAATTGATTATTTAGTTTAAGGAGGGTAGTTTCATGAAGTTGCTTTGAACTCTCTCTGTAAAAAAAGTTTAATGTAGTTTTGTTACTTTCTAGCAGTACTTTTGTTTGGAAAGTTCTTTACATTGTTGAGGGTATCATGCGCCTGGCCTCTTTTGTTTAACACCTGTCAAGTTTTTCTTTGAGCACCGCATCTATATTGGGGTTGTACTGTAATATGTTTTACCAATTTTTATTTGGCTCTTTGGTTTTGCTTGTATGAATGGAATGTTATTACAATGTTATACCTTGTTATGTGGTATAAGTTACTTATCCTGGGTCATTTTGTGGTTCAATTATGGGGGTAGTAGGAACCTATGAGTTGGAGTAGCTTAAATCCTTTATATGGAGTATTTCTGGTCTAGTATGCACCATTATCTTCTGTTGTTGTCTCCTTTTTCACCGACTACTGCATTTTTCTCTTACAAGTGCTTATTGTCTTGTGATGATTCTGGTCTTAGTCATCAAATTAATTTTTTTTTGGCAGCATTGTCGACATCTCTTCTATGTTGGAAAGATCCAGACAATTCAGTTGGAATATACTGATGCAAAAGAGAGCCTTCTTCAGGCCGCTAGGAAAGCACCTATTGCAGCCCGTGGTTTCAGGATTCAGTGCAACAAATGGGCTGTGATAGTGCGATTACTACTAGGGGAAATACCTGAGAGAACAATGTTTATGCAGAAAGGGATGGAGAAGGCCTTGCGTCCGTACTTTGAGCTTACAAATGTATGTTTAATGAATATGATTTCATTTGCAGAATGTATTCTCATTGCCTTAAACCTGCAAAGATCATTTTTAGGCAACTTTATATTTTGTCAATTCTAATTTAATGCTGATAATCTAGTGTTGGTGATGGGTTTGTAGGCTGTTCGTATTGGTGACTTGGAGCTGTTCAGAGGAGTTACTGAAAAGTTCTCTTCTACTTTTGACAAGGATCGAACTCACAATTTGATTGTCCGTCTTCGCCACAACGTCATTAGGACTGGGTTGAGAAACATTAGCATCTCCTATTCCCGCATCTCTCTTGCAGATGTTGCTAAAAAGCTGAGATTAGATTCTCCCAACCCTGTTGCTGATGCTGAGAGCATTGTGGCCAAGGCTATTCGTGATGGTGCAATAGATGCCACATTAGATCATGCAAACGGTTGGATGTTATCAAAGGAGACTGGTGATATCTACTCAACAACTGAGCCACAGTCTGCCTTTGATTCTAGAATTGCTTTCTGTCTGAACATGCACAATGAAGCAGTACGGGCTCTACGGTACCCACCTAACTCGCACAAGGAGAAGGAAAGTGCTGAGAAGAGAAGGGAAAGGCAGCAGCAGGAGCAAGAACTTGCTAAGCACATTGCCGAGGAAGAGGATGATGATTTCTGATGATGCTACAATCTGTGGTGGCCTTTAGCTTTTCCATATTCTTGTTGATCCCTCAGGGAAAGCCCTTTTCACCCTTTACTTTGCTGAGATGATCATGATTGAAGTCTAGATGTCATGATTTTCTCGCACTTTAAAAATTTTCATATCTGCTTTTAGTTGCTGCTGCAGCATGCTCGTGTTTATAACACTTTTCAGTTAAGTTTCTCCATTCATCAGGAATTCTGGATCTGTTATCGCTTAGATTCTTGTGCCTGATCATGTTTAACTGGTATAGTACAGATATCTTTGCTATTATCATTAGGAAGGTATTACTTTTCCTAGTTTTTTCATAGCGGCAAATGTTGAAAGGTGGAAAGTAAAATAGAAGTGTCAACAACTCAACACCCAGAAATGTAGTGGGCTAGCAACACAACCATAAATAATAAAATGAGGCCTAACATTCAAAATAGGGTTTGTTGATGCCCATAAGGCTTGATCGCATTTTCTTCTTAATTTCTAGATACATATCTCTGTTATATAAGTTAATTCTGGAGAAGTTTGACATACATCTTAATCACCTAAATATCTAATACTTGTGTATCTTTATTTTTATTATGAATTCTGAAAGATATTAAAAAAAAATAATAATAATAATAATTCAAACGTCGCCCTCGAATCTCTAACTAACGCCCGCAAAATAACCTAAAATGACGTACGTAGCCTTGTTATAAAAATATTATAAAATAGTTATTTTTACATAAACTTAACACTTTTACCCTACATAAAATTTTTTACCGTTCTCTCTAGTGCTCACACCGGCCACCAACGATCACGTTGAACCACCAACCACTGTAATTTTCAAAATCAAACCAATAATTTAAATTTTGCAAAACCTAATTCGTTGGATCCCAAGGAAGACAACGAAAGGCCGGAAACACCACCTACGTTGGTCGCCGGAGGCTCGTCGGACCGTACGGAATCGGTACGATTATTTAATTTTTTTTTTCGAAATTCCAAATATTTAATTTTCTGTTTATGAAATTTCCAAGCAAACGCCCAAAAAATTCGAATAACCTAGGCTGAAACGCCTAGTTTTTTCGAACACCCTAGGATATTTCGTAAAAACTAGGCGTTTTCTTTTTTTTCGAATTTCCGAATATTTAATTTTCTGTTTATGACATTTCCAGGCAAACGCCCAAAAATTTCGTAAAACCTAGGCTGAAACGCCTGCTTTTTTCAAACACCCTAGGATATTTTGAAAAAACTAGGCGTTTCAGCCTAGGTTTTTTGAAATTTCTGGGCGTTTGCCTGGAAATTTCGAATTTTTTTATCAATTTTGAAATTTAATTCTAAAAAAACACGTTGACGACTGTCATTTTCTATCAATTCCTATTGTTTTTCTTTAAAAGATCGACTATAATAGATGAATTGTTCATAAGTGAAATGTCATATTATTTGTAAAGTATGTTGTTTGTATTTGGATGAATTGTTCATAAGGCATCGAATTTGTTTAGGAGGGTCGTATTGTTCTATCAATCTTAATATGTTGTTTGTATTGTTCATAAGTATGTTGTTCAAAAAATTATAGTTATATACTACGAATTTGTTTAGGAGGGTCGTTTTGAATTACTCAACTTAATTAATTTCTCTAGTTATAAAATTCTCAATCGTTTATAAGTGAGGGATCACACCTTTTAGTTGTTATTATAATTAGTTGTGTATAGTTAGAATTATTATGATTAGTTGTTATTATTATTAGTTGTGTTTTTGTTGTTTGTCAACTTTTATTAATTTTGTTTTTATTGTTATTATTATTATATAGGATTCTGAGTCCGAGGATGGTGATGGTGTGGACTATAGCGTACATTTTTTGACAGACACTGTGTTTTCGAGTTTTGAGGATGCCGTTCTGTGGGCACAAAATGTTTGTCGCCCGCTCGGATTTATGTTAGTGAAGGCTTCTTACAAGATCGATCGGAGTGGTCGGCCGTATCGATATGTGAGTTGTGATCGTGGAAAAAAGAGCATGATAAGAGACATGATGAACACGATACGCAAAGACACGAAAAGCAAGGCAAACAGTTGTCCCTTCAGACTCAAGGTTGAGTATGTCAGAGTAGTAAGTGGTTGGAAGCTCAGTTGTTTGAACGACACTCACAATCATTCTTTGGTTGTGTATCCTGAGGGACATCGACAAATCAGCGGTCTTAGTCTTGCTGCTAAGCATGTAGTTCGTGACATGACTCAGGCACAGGTGCCACCTCGGCATATCATGAGAACTCTTGTAGAAAAGTTTCCCGGAGACCATCCAAACATCAGGCATGTCTACAACTGCAGAAGTAATATCAGAATGGAGCGATTCGAGGGAAGAGAGGTGGTTCCCCAGGTGCTTCATTTGGCCAGACAGAGCAAATACCTTACTTGGGTTATGACTGATACCAACAATGTGTTGCAACATGCTTTCATGGCACACCCGATCATGACAAATTTGCTACGCACATACCCGTACGTGATAGGTATGGATTCCACTTACAAGACGAACCGATACGACATGCCATTCTTTGAGATTGTTGGGGTTACACCGACAAATCAAAACTTTCTTGTTGCATACGCATTCATGAGGTCGGAGTCCGAAGAAAGTTATCGGTGGGTGCTTCAGTGCTTGAGGTTGTTGATCGGTCATCATAGAGAGCCATCGGTACTACTGACAGATAGGGAGCTTGGCCTTTGTGCAGCGTTGAAGAGCGTGTTTCCAAACACAAGACACATGTTGTGTGTGTGGCATATTAACAAAGATGTTGAGGCGAAGGTTACTTCCATGTTTGAAAAAAAGAAGGAGATTGGTGCCAAGTTCAAAAATGGGAGGTGGAGGCATGTGATTTATGCTACATCTGAAGAGGCATATGAAAGAGAGCTTGTAGAGCTGAAAACCAAGTGGAGTCGATGGCCGAAAGTGATTAACTATGTTATGGACACTTGGCTCATACACAAGGAGAAGTTTGTGATGTTTTGGACGAATCAGGTACTGCACTTCGGCAATGTTAACAACTGCAGGGTTGAGAGCCAGCATTCGGCATTGAAATGTTGGATTGACAGTTCTACAGGTTCTTTAGACACAGTTTGGGCTCAGGTGCACTGCTCGATTGAGAACCAGATCATAGCCATTCGTAATGGGTTAGAGGCATGTAGAGCAACTCATGGTCAGAAGTACAAGCAGAAGCCTTTGCATCAGCTGAACGGAAAGGTATCCCACTATTGTCTGTCTATTCTTCTTGGTGAGACGAACATGATGCGAGGGTTGAGTACAGATGTCCATCGACGTTGTGGGTGTGCTCTACGTACTACCCACGGGTTACCTTGTGCGTGCCAAATATATGACTCGATTACTGCAGGGAAGGGGTTGTATACGAAGGACATTCATCCATATTGGAGGACCCTTGTCATTGGTGCGGGTGTCGACATTCCTGATGTAGTTGATGAAAATGATGAGGATCGAGCTCATTTCCGCACCCTTGTTGATCAGGTTATTACCAGTGACCCTGTGATGCTTAGGCACGTGTCTGAGTGATTGAGGGTGAGATGGATCCTAACTACGATGACCTTCAGGAGCCTCGAGTCAACCCTCAAGTAAGGGGACGACCTCCCGAGAGAAGGAACAGGCGAGATCGTTCGTTTTTTGAGCATGTTCAACGTAATGGGCGAGATAATCGATCCAGAAGTAGACCACCCCCATCTGATACAGGTGATTATCGATATAATTAAATAATGTTTTCATACATCTTATATTTTAATTTAGTTTGTGTAATAACTTAACTATATGTCATATTATGTTTTTTATTTTGTAGGTACCGGGTTCGACATGCGACAATGTAGATACAGCTACGCGATTCCCAACATCATGTGGCCTTACGTCGTAGGTGTTAAGGACGTAATTGGAGATGGGAATTGCGGATTTCGTTGCGTAGCAGATTTTTGTTAGGGAGATCAGGAGGAATGGCGATTGGTTCGACATCATATCGCAAATGAGGTTGGTTCTCATCCTTGGTTGTACAACATGATTTACTACGACATATGGGGTCAACAGGTTGGTTCAGGACTGCAGAGGGAGGTAGACCGGATCAGATGGGATGGTGATGCGTGTGGACAGGAGCATTGGATGGTAGCACAGTAGGATTTGTTTGCTATTGCCACAATATGGAATGTGGTAGTGATTTGTTATGGAGTAGGAAATAGACCATCGTGCTACTATCCATCTACCACTGTTTTACCGTTGAACAATCGTGGACGCTTAGATAGGCCTAGTGCAGAGTTCGTGATTGGAACTGTTGGTGGATCGCATTTCATTCGTTTGCATATGGATCAAGACCACCCACTTCCTCCAATTTCACCAATGTGGTTTAACGCTCGACAGGCAAGTGTACACAGATGGGAGGCAAGGTACGAGAGAAGGCTTCAATTGTGGCAGACATTAGTTAGCTCTTGAGTACTGTTATGGATTTTTATTTAACTTTATTAATAAACATGATTATTTTTTTTTAATTTTTTTAAGCAATTCTTTTAAAAATTTACTAAGTAAGTACTACGTAATTAGAAAATAAAATAATAATATATAAATGTCAACTTGATAATTCTCAACAAATGTGATAAAACATAAATGTCCACTAACAACATCCAAAACATAGTCTAATAAAACAATAAAGTCAAAGCTAGAATACATATTACAGCTAATCTCTAAGTCCATTTATTGTATTCCAATCATTAATCACCTGCTCTAACATTACTTTGGTGTCCCTTGATAGCGTAGGGTACTCACTAAGTGATCGCTGCGCTGTAACCATAAATTGCCCTACCCACTGCACAAACCATTATAATTGTGTATTAATAGAAATAATAGGAAAAAAATAATTAAATTAAAAAAAAAACTAACAAAAAACTTACGTAATCAACGTTGGTCCTCTCAGGAAGACCGACTTTATCCTCAACATACATTAGGAGTGACGATAGGATGGCTAACTCTCCTAAACCAGGGTAGGTAGTCAGGGGCACAAGTATATCCGCCACGTGGAACTCTAGTATATCCACCAAGAAGAAGACTGAACGCAGCACCGGGGACAAATCTATCCCACATGAGAGTGGTCATCTGAGCTGAAAAACTGACCCTATAAGACTTCACACTAAGTGGTCTCTGAGCATCATCTGGCCTAATCATGTCACCGGGAATCTCCTGTATAAACCCCAACTGTCGAACAACTCGATCGGGCATATATGGTTCTATGATGCCTCGATAGCGAATACATCCAGTAAACATAGTCCTAGGCACCTGTTGTGCAGGAAAAGCACCGTATGGCAACCAACATACCTGTAAATTAGTTATACCTGTAAATCAACTGTAAATAAAATCAATATAAGACAAATAGTAATTACGTATCTACTTATACCTCATAGTCACACAGCTGGTCAAGTCGAGTACGAAAGGACACGAGACGTTGTTGATGCTTCCGCGTCATACCAACATCCCATAACCCTGCACGAGCATGAGGGACGTCCTGTGTCAACACACCCTGGTGAGGCCAAAAACATGGAAAGTACTCGTATATCCAAGCCTGTAGAAGAGTCAGACAACCCGCGATAGAATCACATCCATTTCGGGTGGCATGTCCGAGCTGACGATACAAGTACCCTAGTGTGGCTGAACCCCAGGAGTATCTCGTCAACCTCTCCAGGTTATCCTCGATACACAACTCACTGAGAAAAGAAGGGTGAGTACCGGTACCGCTCTTGTCAGTAAAGAGCGTGTTACCCAAAAGGACCCACATGTAACCAATGGCCTGAATCGCCTCCAGTTGCTCCTCACTACGACACCTAGCAATAATCTGGTCAGTATGGACGCCACCGTTCTTGTAGATGGCATTCTGAGTCTTGACCTGTAGCTTCTCTGGAGTCAACTGTAACAACCCACCTACCAATGTCCTATACTGGTCACTAGGGAGATCACCGACAACCATATCCCCATCAACCCGAATACCAAGTATGTGGTGTACATTGTGCAACATGATGGTCATCTTACCAAAAGGTAGGTGGAATGTGTTCGTGTCTGGCTGCCATCTCTCAACAAAGGCAGAAATCAGCTGAAAATCAAGGTGGTCGTGCATAATGCTAGGCAGGTGCGACAGCCCAGTCTGTCGTATCCGCGTAGTGGTGGCAGCTGTAAATCGCTCTAGCCAATCAGTCAAATCTCTACACACACCAGCTCTAGTATGACACCGCAAAAACCGTCGATCTTCCCCATCCCAAATATACCGAGCAACATGGGCCCCGAAACTAGGAATAACGCTCCCATCCTCGGGCCCACCGTCCATCGGCCCCTGAACAAGCCAAGTCGCTACATATCGAGGTGGTCGAGAACTCATAAATCTCCCATAAGGACCTCTCGTCACGACAGGCGGCTGCTCTTCAACATCAGCCTCACCCTCATCTACATCATCCTCAGGTCCATCATCCTCGTACATCGAACTCGAACCCGAACCCGGAGTCCCATAATCATCCACTACCCTGTCGTGCTCTGGTACTGAACTACCTTCCCGTATACTAATCCCCCTATCTCTCCTAATTGACGCGTTAATACCGCGTGATCTAGCATGTCATGGACCTGAACCCTCAACTACATTCTAAATTTAAAATAAATTATAATATTAATAATAAAAACAAAATAGGTGATGAAAACAAAAGAAAACCAATAACTAGTACTACTGAATTTGCATCTTTTAGTTACAAACATAATTTTTTAACTTTTTATCTTTGATTGTACAATATTGTTTTTTTTTCTTTGATACCATGATAATGTAAACCACTCTTGTTGTTGCCTAAGCTTAACAAGTAAAAGGTTGCAATCCTATCTGTCCATAAATCAAAAATACCTTCACTACTCATTTACAAGACACCATTAAATTTGAATGTTTACTGTACGTCCATTTGCCAAATTGTGTTTATATATATCTACACTTCAAAGTGTGTGTGTCTATATACATCTACACATCAAATTCTAGTTTGTCGATGTTGACAGTAGTGCTTGGTTATTAGGGAATTTTAAATTAAATGCACCAAATAAATACAATGGAATATCAAGGGGATAATTTCTAGTTCCTCTATTGAAATTAGATCCTATGCCCGGCAGCATAATTCATATCATGCTTCTATAAAATCCATTACCACCTCATATGGCCAAAAATAATCACTGATGATACATTTTGGAAATAACATAGTAACAACAGCAATTATAAACAACAACAACAGCAATTATAAACAACAACAACAATTATAAACAACAACAACAACAATTATAAACAACAACAATAGCAATTATAAACAACAACAACAACAATTATAGACAACAACATCAATTATAAACAACAACAACAATTATAAACAACAACAACAATAATAAACAACAGCAACAGCATATGAATATAAGGCATAAACGTCCAATTTTTTCAACGGATCTAGGGTGAAATGCCTAGATTTTTGTATAACTGTATGGGTGAACGAAAATTCTAGGCGTTTCAGCCCAGAATTTGTGAAAATTTTGGGCGTTTCCGCCAATTCCAGAAAAAAAAAATATACTCACCTTGTCTCCGGCGACTCCTTCGACGAAGGCCTTTCCCTTGTCCTTCCTCGTCATTTTCGCGTCTTCCCTTGTACGTGGTGGAGGGTGGGACGTGGTGGTGGGTGGGACGGGGTGGTGGTAGTAGTGGTGGGTGGTTAAAGGGCGTGGTGGTATGTGGTTAAAGAAGGAGGCGGTGGTGGGTGGTTAAAAGAGGAGTTGGTGTGAGTGGTTCAAAGAGGAGGTGGTGGTAGTGGTGGGTGGTAAAAGAATGTGGTGGTGGTGGTGTAGAGAGAGAATTGTATTTAAGAGGGAGAAGAGGGAGTGAGGGTTTTGGGAGTGAAGGAGTGAGAATTGTTTTATTTTATTTAAGGGTAAATTTGTAAAATAAATTTTATTTGCGGGCGTTAGTAGAAAACTCGAGGGCGAAATTTAACAACCCCCTTAATTAATTCAAAGTTGTAAATTGTTTTTTAAATTTATATTTATAGATAAACAATTATCGGAAAAATACAAGTTCATCTTAATGATGAACTTGTATCGTTCATCATAGGGTTAAAGGTGGTATTTCACGTGGCCACAGAGGATAATATGGTACTGTGCATGAAGCGTAGATGTAACAAAGTGACACGTATTTTATTGCCTAGTCACTAGTAACAATAAACATCGTGATTGTTACTCAAAATAACGGCGTTCGTTTGGGAAGAAGATGTTATATCGACGTTAGATGGAGATATTTCTGGATCTTCGTCTAGTAAAGCAAAGCATCTCATCAGTTACAGAAAATCGAAAAAGATTGGTCGACCCTTTGGGCAATATACCCAGAAGTTTTATTGCGACATATCACCAAATTGATCTAATCGCGTTGTAAGTGTTTTGAACTAGTATTACAGTCAATTAATAGTTGTAAATTTTGGTCGAGGGTATGGAAAACGCGGTTGTTGCTGTGGAGGGAATTGAATTTGGTGGTAGTGGAAATTAACAATGTAGGGGTTTGGTTTATCCTGGTAAAACATTAATGGGTATTCAGTTTATTTATCCTGTTATGAAATTAAGATGGAATTGGAATTGGATTTGATTTTGGGGACTGAATAAAAAGAAAATTAATTTTTATTGGAACGCGGTATAATTGGTAAGTTAAATTAGAATTTAGTTTATATATCTAGTCATGAAATTAAGTTGAAATAGGATTTGGATTGGAATTTGGGGGTTGAGTGTTACCTATGGTGTTCACAAACGGATTAACATATTTTCAGAGAAGTGTATTTGTTTGTATACGAAATTGGAATGTAATGTAATGTGCTTTGTGTAATGTGCTTTTGTGTTAGAAATATGGCAAAGGGAATGCGGGGACTAATGGAAATGGAGCCAGAAGAGGTAAATATCAGTTGTATTGTTAATCGTTTTTCATTGTTTCCCTGAATGTAGTTGTTTCGGGGTTCTTGGAGTCCCTCGGGAGAGTTACAATTCCAAGAATGTGCGTCGATTGTCTGTACCTGCAAAACCACGGAAAATTCCGGTTGGATGGAGTTCCGCCTCCGACGATCAAGTTAGAACGTGTCCGGATGTATAAAAGTGCAGAATATAAGGGTTTTTCTCTCGGATTCTGAGAGAATTATGCAATTAATATTGCTCGGGTTTTTGTGTGTATATTTTGGAATGTGCAATAAATGAGGATTTCCCTTTATTTATAGTGTTTGAGGATTAGTTCCCCTTTCATGGGTTGGAGTGCCACATGTCACCAGAGGGTTAGTTCTTCCAGATACTCTTTGGGGCTGACACGTGTCAGCATTCTATTGGGCCACTTGAACCGGGTATTTTTACCCTAAACATTTGCCCCTCACAGGTGTGACGTGGCTTGCCACGTGGCACCTATGACAGGTGTCATGATCTGAGAAGGTGACGTTTCGTCTCCTTCTCTCTCTCTTTTTTTTTTCCTTTTTTGAATTTGAATTTGGAAGGTGACGGTTCGCCTTTTGGGGTTCTATATAAGTAGAGGTCCCCCCCTTCATTTCAACACTTATTCACTTTGAGAAATTTTTTCTGAGAAAAAGCTCTGATACCGGCTGCTATTTCTTGCACAACCGTCTTTCTTTTCTTCACTCAACCGGCTACCGTCTGAGTGCTCTTCATTCAAAACATATTAAAACCGCCTCAGGGTCTTTTGACATTCTCCTAGCTTTCAATACACCCACAGCCGGTCAACCGTCTGGAGTATCTTCAAGCAAAATTTCAGAGGAACGTCTGGGTTTTTCTACAATTTTCGATTGCTCTTCAAGTGGGTACATCCGGGCAACCGTTTGGGTATCTAGCAAGCAACAAAGAGATTTCCGGCTGTTGATCCAGATAGCCAACTTTCCCCACACCCAAAACATCTTCGAGGTACCGTCTATACCCCTTGCACCTTTTTTGAGTTTTTCCGGTTGTATAGCTTATAAAGAATAATGGACTCACCCAGCATACACACGGCACGACCTAGGACAGTTGTCAGTCGGTCACCGGATACGGCTGAGTCTAGGACTGGGGATGCCGTCTGGGGTGTTTGAACCATCCTTACTCTTCTGCGAGTCCGACCGTCTCTGTTCATGTGCAGGACATAAAGGCGGTGAAGAGACCGTCCAACAACCAGACTCTGAAGAGTATTCCTGAGAACCGAATGCCCCCCAAGGGGATGAGGAGGCGTATAAATGGCCCTCCATCAATAATCCAATAGAGGCACATGTCCGCCAGGGATGTTTTCACTCTGAACGCCACTTTCCTTGGGAAGAAATGCGCCCTTCCTAAAGTACCGGAAGAGGCCTGGATGCAAATAATGGAGACGGGACTCTTCAAGAAAACCTCAACGCCTTTGGATGATGGGACTGAAATAATTGTCCCCAAGAACTGGGTCCCTCATCCAGACTGTCTAAAGGACGAGGCGTTCCTTTCCG